GTTTTTTAATTTTAGATTATTAGAGGTTTTATAAAAAATATGGCAAATTTGAATGTATTTTTTTAAGTTTTAAAGTTATTAATTCATGAATTGCATTTTATATTAAAATGCATTTTGTATTAAAATGGAGAATTAATCGTCAGCAAAGAAATGTACATACATACACGCATACATACATGATGCAGTAAGAATGTGGCAAAATACATATTTACATAGTACATGCTCACCTTCTCTTTTCCGACATCATAAAATTATCCTTAAAACATATCGCACGTTTAATAATATACAGAATTATTTCAAAATTTTAAATTTTGGGAAAAAACCAATCAAAGTTTGATCAATTCATATAGTTGGTATACCAAAATATAGATGGAAAGACACATTTCTTCGCCATTTTTGGGAAGTTAGGCTGAACATGTTCTCTTTATCAAGCTTATTAATTGTATGATGAAATCTCCAAAAACGTAAATTTTTAGTTACATAATAATAATAATAGATTGGCGCTTATACATATGTTAGTGTTTGGCCGAGCTTAGTTGCATGTACATGTACGCATAATTAATTTGATATTATAATTTTGTGTGATTTTACATTCCAGGCTTTTGCTTCAGCTTTGCGACGTCCCTGTCTTTTCGCTGTACCGGAATTCGTTATCGAAACTATTTTTGGCAAGGACCGTTCTGCTTTGCTCCTGTCTGGTGCTAAGATACAACCGAAAAGGACATTAGAAACCGGTTTTAAATTTAAATATCCCACTGCGAAAGAGGCTTGTTTAGAAGTAGTTAAGAAGTCCTAAGAAATCGTTAGCGAATACATAATATAAGTATATTTTAAAATCTGTTAAACAAAAAGCACAACTAAATACACTTACAGTTCTCAGTCTGGACCGTGCTTAGTTGTTTTGTACAAAATTATTTCATACTTCAAGTATGGCAACGTTTGCTTCATTCTGACCCCGGTTGCCACTATTGGTTGTTTCCAACCAAACTTGGTTTTTTTTTTAATATTTTCGAATTTGGTTGTTTGGTAGTTTTTTTCTCTGATTTGGTTATTTTTTTTAAATTATTTTTATCGAAACTTCGTTCCTTGAAAACCAAGACTACTGAATTTTTGTTGATCTCATTAAACATGTCTACATATATATATGTATGTAGTACAAACCCTGCAAACCAAAGTTCCCGAAATCTTGACGAAATCTTTAGAAGCATCTCATTTCTGTAACGATTTTGTTACGAACCTTCAAACAAAGAACGTAAATCTATAAGATGAGACCACACGTTATAATTGTAACGATGTGAACATCAGGAGCGTGCCTTTTCTTCTCATCGAATCACAAAATGTATTTGGGCAAAAGAGAAATCACGCTCGTGATGTTCCCACTTGTTACAATTATAACGTGTTGTCTCTTCTTATAGATTTACGTTCTTTGCTTCAAAGAAAATTATAAAAAGAGGTTGACACGAACTCGTAAAGAAATTTGTGTACGAAAAATAAAGAAAAGAATCTGCAAGAAATTGTTCACATTTCCATTGCTTTACCGATTTTCTTCCGAAATTTCGTAAAAGAATCGAAGTGTTCACAGTTTATTTTATTTTAGAAAATGCGGCAAAAATTCGAATGACTTCTTTACGAATTCTTTACAATTTCTCTACAATTCAGAGTACTCTGAAAAAAATGGTTTGCAGGGAATATATGTAAAGACATATGTAAGTAAACTTTAAAAGTTTTCGTAATATTCTGAATTTGTGAGAAGTTTAAACACCGTGAATTTCAAATTCCTATTTTGATTGTAACATATGCATATAAAATACATATAAAAAGTAAATAATGTAATTAATTTGCATATCAGTAATTTTTGTTTTTCTTTTTGTAATAAGTTTTGCTGTTCGTAACAAATATGTACGTAAAAAATAAAGTTGGTAGTTTTTTTCAGTTTGGTGGGTTTTTAGTCAGATTTCTATTGGTTATTTTTTTTCAAGTGGCAGCCGTGATTTTGACACGTCAGTTTCGATTGTCAATTTAAGCAGAATTTTCCTACAAGAAGCAGACATTTTTGGGCGAAAAGCAAACAAAAAATCTAGCATTTTAACATTTGTATTTTAAAACCAAAGATATAGCTTTTAACGCTGATATCCTCATCACCATTGAAGTAAGTTTTCTATCTTCATTTGGAAATATCAAATTCTGTGGTAATTGTATAAACTGCCAAAATATTTAGGTGCAGCCAGTACATCTAACACATTGCGTGGCAAAACACTTCTTCAGAGTGCCAGCGCCATATCTTAATACCTTAAACAATTTTAAAAGCCTGCGGATAATAGTCCTATTGTATTTTATAGTAAAATGCAATCATCAGTACGATTTAGTTTAATATCTGCATTGTTGCCGCTACTGTTTTCGATTACCTTCTGCCCTGCCACCGCTGTAGAATTTACATTCGATTTAGCAGACAATTCGGAGGATTGCTTCTTTGAAGAAGTGCGGCGTAATACATCATGCTATCTAGAGTTCCAAGTATCTGCTGGTGGTCAACTGGACGTGGATGTAACGTTAACAAATCCTCATGGCAAAGTCATATACGAACAACAGCGTGCCACATTTGACAGTCATCAATTTACGGCGGAAGCGACGGGTGTTTATAAAGTTTGCTTTAGTAACCAATTTTCTTCATTTTCCCACAAAATTGTCTATGTCGACTTCCAAGTTGGCGATGAGCCTGCACTGCCTGGTATCGACGAACATGCCACCGTACTGACGCAAATGGAGACTTCTTCCCAGTCAATTCACAAAAGCCTCAATGACATACTGGATGCACAAACGCACCACCGTTTGCGTGAGGCGCAAGGTCGCAAAAGAGCCGAAGAACTAAATGAGGCCGTATTTTTGTGGTCAGCTCTCGAGACATTCATAGTGCTTGTTATCGGCTTCGGACAGATTTTAATTCTGCGAAACTTCTTCTCAAATCGTAAACCTAGTGATGCTCGGTATAATCAACTTCGGTAAAAAATTCAATAAGGTAAAAAGTAGAAAAATCGAAAACGACCAATTGGAAATAAAACGAGAATTGAACGATATGAATCTACCATGTGAAGATGCGGCCATGGATATAAAATGCGCCAAGAGGTTGAATTTATGTTTTCGCATACGCTTATAAGTTTGATATACATACATACATAGATACTGTTTTCAAAATATAATCAAAGACACCTTTAATTTACGTTTAACACATTAAGATTCGGTTATTTGCAATACATACAATTGTAATAAATAGTTTCTACAAATTACTCATAGTCTTTTAGCACTACCTGCATGCATCCCTAAGTAAGTGTTCATTTTTTTTCGCAATTTTTAGAATAACTACACAATTTATCTTATCTACGGAACAGACAAAAAATATACAAGGTTCCCTCCGAGCTTTTATTGATGAGTCTATGAAGCGTTTGTACCATCAATTACTAGAATGCATCTAAAGAAACTACAAACTGGTAGATAAGAAATTCATGTAAGTAGCTGTGCCGAAAAAAATTTATTGTAAGAAATATGTAGGTAACTTGATTTTGTTGACCGGGACAATAGATCTTTGAGATATTCCTGCTGATAAATAATATAAAAAAGAATGCATTCCTAAAATTAGTAAACACCTATGATCTGAGCAGGAGAAAATAAATTTAAATAAAATCTAATTAAATTAGAACAGATTAGTTAATTATGATATTTTAATGAAATGAAACCAATTAGATAATTTTCTAATAAGAAAAAATAGCAACCATGGGACAACGACCTGACCGACGTGATACGAAATTTGAGTGATGGCAATACTGCTCATTCGCAGCACAGCTGATTCGGCTGTCAAACGAATGAAATTTGATTGCCTTGAACGAAATAACACGTGCATTTTTGACCGCTGCATCTCGCGAATCTATTTTTTGCAACACGCAGCATTTCCGTTTAGCTGCAGTAGTAA